AACTAATTATTTAGTTGGAGTAAGACAATTCGTAGTTTATTTTGTCGAAGCCGTTGGAAAAAGATGAATCATTTAATTCGAGATTCCACCACTGTGACCTAGCAACGTTGGTCATGGGAAGATTGCTAAGTTATTTCCGTAACTGATTCGGATTCGCAATTCTATTGACAGTGAAGTGGTTGGATTAATCAATCATTGTGAGTTTGTTAAAGAATTAATGGAATATCTTGAATTCTTGTACTCGGGAGAAGGTAATCTGTCTCGTATGTATGAGATCTGCAAAGGATTTTATCGGGCTGACCAGCGAGATAAGCCCCTTACAGCTTATTTCATGGAATTTAAAAAGATTTACGAGGAACTTAATGTTTTGTTGCCTTTTAGTCCCGATGTTAAGGTTCAACAAACGCAGCGAGAACAAATGGCTGTGATGAGTTTTCTTGTAGGTCTTGCTCCAGTTTTTGAAACTGCCAAAATATCAAATCACAAGTTCTTCCAAGGCAGTGATGTTTACCTCTCTTCAAGTATGACTTTGCTAGATGGCCTCCGTACTGACGTTCTCAATACAACACTTCCCCTTCTGATTTGAATAGTGCCCTTGTGAGTACCCATAATCAGGTAGCTAGACAGCCAAGGAAACAGAGGAAGAGGAGGATAAACGTGGGTAAATGGATCCCAATCACTCGGGAGCACAAGTAAATTCTTATCTGTCATTATTTGTCATGAACCTGGTCAACACTATAAACGGTATTGCAAAGAAAACTAATAAATAAAGCCACCGGGTAAATATGGCAAACATCAAGATTATGCAGTTACTTCTTCTGACGAACAATGTAACAATTTCTGCTGCGGAGTAATTGCTGGAGCTCTCTAAGGATACCGTTCCTCTAAGTCCTACTAATTCCTCAATTGCTGCCTGCTGCAACTCAGATACTCCTTCTTCTTGTCTTATGTCTACCTCCATCAAGTGGGTCATGATTTCGGTTTGACCGATGCACATGACAGGGATAACCTAAGTCTCTTATCCTCATTAATAAGACCTAAACAATTTTAATCGTCATGTTACTTCTAGCTTGATGGTCCCCCAAAGTCTCCTGTCAAAGTGTATTGGCAGTCTGCCAATCCCATTCCATCTCTTCCATTGTCTCTGTTTTGTTGCCCTTGTTTGTTTCGTTTAATCTATATCTGTAGCAAAATTACTCGTATGCTGAATTGTTTGTGTCAAATTTATCCTACATATTGGTGCTGTTCAGGGATCTTTTGACGAAGCGGATTAATTGTAAGAGACGTGAAGTCTGGTGGCCTTTATCTTCTGGATGAACACGTTTCATTATCTCTGGCTGTGCTGGTGCTGCTATCCCTCTTGAGGTTCATTGTCGGTTTGGGTCATCCATCATTGTTTCACTTAAAGAAGTTGTGTCCGCAATTTCAGTCTTTATCAAGGTTTAAGAAAATGTGGAATCTTGTCAAATTGCCAACATCATCGTTTACGCTTTAGTTCTCTCGGAGCAATAACGGGTTTTCATCCCTTTTGAGTTAGTTCTTCTGATGTTTGGCGGTTAATGTCCTGTTATTTCTAAAAAAACTGGCTTTCGGTATTTTGTAACTTTGTGGATGATTAATTCTCGTGTTACTTGGTTATTTTTAATGAAAACTCGTTCGGTATTCTCTATTTTCTTTCTTTTTTGTGCTGAATAAAACTCAATTTAATAATTCTGTTCCGCATATTGGCACAATGGATAATGCTAAAGAAACCTATCTAGTTCCTTCCAATCTTATATATGTCCACAAAATGGTATTCCTCCATCAAAACATCTTGTGTTGATACTCCTCCAAAAGGGTGCAGAAAGAAAGAATCCGACATCTTCTTGAAGTTGCTAGGGGCACTTTTATTCCAAATGAAGTCCCTAAAACATTTTTGGGCTGATGCTGTGCTCTACTGCAAATGTTTTTTGATTAATCGCAGCCTTCTCTGTGCTTAATGGTGGCAATTCCTTAATAATGTCTTGTTTCCTTCTAAACTTTATCCCCATTGAAACCCGTATTTTTTGGTTTTGTACTGTTTGTTCGTGGATGTCGTCCACAGGTTTCCAAATTAGATCCAAAGTCCCTTCGTTGTGGTTTTACCCTTGGGTATTTCTCGGCATCAAAGGGTATCGTTGTTCTCTCCCGATCTTGACCGTTATCTAATTCTGCAGATGTACACATTTTTTGAGAATACCCCATTTTTTCCTTCTTTCTATATATAAGAGTGAGGGGAGGATGAATGAACCTTTTAGTCTAATTGCTAATCCAGCAAGTTCATAACTCTCCTGCTCCGCTCGTGAATTCTGACCTTGCTCCTGCACCTACCTCCAGTGTCTGCTGCTGCCTATTCCCAGCTCCCCTGCATCCAGCATCTACACGCCCTCGTTTTGAACAAGTTTATCAGGAGAACCAGGAACTCTTGACTCACTCCTCCACCCTGCCGTTTTCAACAGAAGATCCGGTTCCCTCCACTCAACCTGAGCCTGTGCCGCATCCACTTCCCCAGTCAGAACCTTAACTCCCGATTGCTCTTAGAAAAAGGTAAAGCGCAAGTGGTATTCCTACCCTAATTTCCTCTTTTGTTAGTTATGAATTCAATCTTTCTCTTCTATCTCGTTGTTTTGTAAGTAACTTAAGACTCTGTCCCTCTATTCCTAAAACTGTTTGTCCAATGCTTTGTCCCATCCTGGTTGGTGTGCAGCATGAAAGAGGAGAATGGCTGCCTTAGATACTAATGGTACTTGGGATCTTGTGCCCTCAAAGGCTCGATTAGTTGCATAAAGGGTTATTCTCAGATCTAATGGCCTGATTATTCTGATACTTTTCTCTCTGTTGCCAAATTGTCTTCTGTTTCCGTTTAATTTTTATTCTTAGCAGCTATCTTTTGCCTGGCCCTTTACATCAGCTGGAACGGTTAAGAATGCTTTCTTCAATGGGGATCTTCAAGGAAGGAAGTTTACATGGAGCAACCACCAGGCCTTTTTGTTGCTCAGGGGAGTCGGGTAAAAGTGTGTAAACTTCGAAAAATACCTTTATGGCCTAAAACAGAGTCCTCGAGCTGTTTGGTAAGAGTGTTGCAAATGTGGTACATCAAATTTGGCATGCAAGAAGAAGTACTTCTGATCATTCTGTATTTTTCAGAAGTACTAAGACGGTTTTTGATTTCTACTTGTGGTTTATGTGAATGACATTGTTATTACATGGGAGTGATTCAGCCGGCATTACATCACTCAAAATCATTCCTCCCAGACCCAGTTCCAGACAAAAGACTTAGGCTTATTTTTGGGCTGATGCTGTCTCTACTGCATGTTTTTTGATTAATTGCATGCCTTCTTCTGTGCTTAATGGTGCAATTCCTTATAATGTCTTGTTTTTTTCTAAGCTTCTATTCCCCATTGAACCTCATATTTTTGGTTGTACTTATTTTGTTCGTGATGTTCGTCCACAGGTTTCCAAATTAAATCCAAAGTCCTTCGTTGTGTTATCCTTGGGTATTCTCGGCGTCAAAAAGGCTATCGTTGTTTCTCTCCCGATCTTGACCGTTATTTTATTTCTGCAGATGTCACATTTTTTGTGTTTTCCTTGGGAAGCTTTAGGACAGATTTTGTGCTATTTGAAAGGTAATTGAGGTCGTGGCTTGCTTTACAGCAATCATAGGCATTTGAACATGTGTTTTTCAGATGCGGATTGGGCAGGTTCGAAGGTTGATAGAAGATCAACTTTAGGATATTGTGTCTTTGTAGGTGGAAACTTGATATCGTGGAGGAACAAAATGTAGTCTCACGAATGTAGTCCACGATCGAGTGCGAATTCAGAAATATCGAGCTATGGCACAATTTGCTTTGTGAATAATTTGGAATTCGCGTTTTGAGGAAATGGCTTCAAGTCATCCTTTGCCTGCAAAGTTATGTGTGATAATCTAAGCTGCCTCTTTCACATTGCATCAATCCAGTATCCAGAACGAAACAAAAACATATCGAGAATTGATTGTCATTTCTTCGTGAAAGAACAACAGGGTGTTATCTCTACAGGAACGCACGTCAAAACAGGAACAAGTTATAGGGGAATTTATCTTTACAAAAGCTTCTAAACGGCCCGGGTTGACTACTTTGTAACAAGTTAGGCAATGATTAATATCTATGCTCCAACTTGAGGGGAGTTGTAAGGATTAGTTGTAAATAGAAACTCTATTAGGAGTTAGATTCTTAATAGGTTTATAGTATCTGTTAAATGTGTATATAGTATGGTTCCCTCCCTATTGATGAAGTCAAACAACAGAAATATTTTCCCACATTAAATCTACAAATAGTAAGTTGTTTCATCCTTAGTTTGCAGTTGGGGGCATGTGTAATATCTATGCACCAACTTTAGAGAGAGTATGAAATCTAATAATTAGAAGTAAATATTGCTTTCCCTAGTTATGGTTTTATTCTTATTTGGATTACTCCTATATGGAACATATATTTTGTATTACTTCCTATATTGGAACAATATTTTGTGTATATATATATATATATATAGTAAAGTAGAGATTGGACAATAACAACACAATATAGAGAAATAAAACTCTCTTTTCAAAAACTAAAAGATTATAAAAGTGAGATTTTTATTCTGGAAAAGTTCATTTTGACAAGTTTTCAGCTTCTCAGATTCTTATTTAGAATTTTGATTGCCTTTGGGTTTGAGATTTTTTGTTTCTTATTCAAAAAAGAGAGAGAACAGGATATATAGGGCTTTTTAAAGTTTTCATGGCCTTTGCTCACTGGTTCTAGGTCAATTTTGCTAGTTGATACCCTTGCTCAACCTCAAAAAAATTGAGATTTCGTTGCTCTTAGAAGGATTGTCTTTTCTGATATCAGAAGTCCACCAGCAATAATTAAAATAAAGAGCCTACACTTTGTTTTGGTTTTCAACTCTGCCAAATATGGCTTAAAACAGAAACTGATGTCTTTAACCCCTTCCTTTTCTGCAAACAGCATCACGTCAATTATATGCCTCAATTTGCCAAGCTTTTCTGGTGGAATGAATCCTTGGGGAATACCAAGTATAAGGAGAATGCGTGATGTCAGTTCTTATGCTTTCACTTTGTCCAATGATGATATAAGCAGTTACAATTTAATGCAGCTTGAGTTTGCTCAGGCAAATCATATCTGATAAGATGTCTTTTGGTATATGTTATAGAGAGACTTGACTCCATCATATGTAGATGATGGACTTCTTGAGATTGTTGGTTTTAGAGATGATTTACTTGGGCTTCTCCAGCTTGGTCCAAGCAGGCAAGGGACTCGTATTGCACAGGTAAAAACCTAAACCTTAAGAATCAACTTGAAAGTAATCCTAGTTATTTACTAATGTTATTGATATTAGAAATTCATTTAATTCAAACAGGAAAATAAGACATGGTTAATTTTAATATTATATAGTTCAATGCATAGCATCTAAAAATGCCAGTTACTAGCAGATTAGCTGTAGCTGGCAACTTAATTATGAGATATCAATTGAATTAAGGGGTCAAAATTACAACTTTTTGAGGAAAAAGCAGGAAAAATAATTCACAATACTTTCTGGACTTCCCGAGTAAATTGGTTGTCAAACCAACTGTAGAACAAACCAAGCACCTGTGTACAGTTTTTTAGACAGCAAAATGTTGTGAGACGCAGTAGAGTGAGGCATGTTGGGTTTTATTGTTCCCATCCTTGATTATTTTCGGGGCGGAGGGGGGTATTGTGGGGCGGGTATCTCCGTTTTAGTTTTTATTAATTTTATAAATTAGTAAAAAAATAAAATTTAATATAATGTCATCAAGTACTAGATGAAAAATATATTTTTTTATAATATTAGCTAATGTTTTAGGAAAAAAACAAAAAATAGTATACCTTACCATCACAAAGATCAAGAATATACTGATATGTGAAAGTGATAATAGTCAAGGTGGGATTGGCTGGGTATTCCTTGATAGGGTGAGGTAAAATAGCCAGTTCCAAGTGTGTCTAGTTGAAGGCTGACAAGCGAGACTTTAACGTTGATGTGCCTTTATATGATGAAGATGAGGGATAGAAGTTCATCTAATAGAAGCAAGTGTATTTCAAAAGATGGGGAGAAAATCGCAGCCTATATACCTTCTTGTAGTATAGTGTAGTTGGAATTTTAGCTAAATCTCATTTTGGAGGGGAGAGGACCACTTAGTTAACCTTATTCTTCTTATAGGCAAAATGTTTGTCAATATTAACTTAACATTCAATCATATCCTATTTTATCTCTGAACTTGTATCAATCCCTTGCCTAATGATTAATCTGAAGCATTAGTTGTTTACATACATGTCAATACAATAATATATTTTCTTTAACAGGTTGTGTTGATCTATAACTTTCAATTTTTTTTTTTCCCAATTTTTTTTTTTTTTTTTTTTGGCTATCCAGTATTTTGTAAAGAAAAGAAAACAAGAGCAGCCATGCTTCGTTTGCAACAATTAATTAAGAATGAGTCTCATAAAAAATTAAGGATTCATGATTTTGGTGTTTGGTACTTGGATTATGAATTAGTCTATTAAAAAGAAATAAATTGAAGTTGAGAATGAGAATGTCTCAGCTTTTCAGCTGTAATTGGAACAAAAATATAACTGAGGATATCATTGAAAGTTCAGGTTAAATCTGATGCAAGTACTAGAACTTTGGTTTCACAAGTTGTTAAGCCTTTGATTATGGTAGTTACTTTCTTATTTTATCTCTATATATATACTTATGTAGGCCTATAACATGATTATTTTTTGTTGCATAATAATTTATTCAGTGTTAGAAGCTAATTTATTTTTGTTTTGGAACTTTGGATTCTGCCTCAATTTTCAATGGTGTAGCTTGCCAGGGCCTTCGTTACTAATCCTTGCTTTTGTGGTTGCAAGTGAATCAAATTATTTCTCAGTCGATGTTTGCAACTAGATATGAATGTAACATAGCACCATAACAAGAATTGTGAATATACATTATTTTTTGTAATTTCCTACTTTCATTTCATGCTAGGCACATCGAATCCGGTTTGAGTTTCACAAGGGTGCTTGGGATCATACATTCATGAAGATGGATGGAGAATCCTGGAAGCAACCCCTACCTGTAGATGATGATACAATAGTTATAGAGATCTCTCACCATGGCCAGATCAACGTCCTTGCCACTCATGACTGCGTGTCTAGAAGTGTTTTTGATCCCCCGTTTCCAATCGTTTTTTCGGATGAAGATGACAGTAGTGAAGAAGACTTTTTAGAAGTCGAAGTGCGAAGGAAATTCGGTGCAGCTCCCACATTAAGGAAATTCGGTGCAGCTCCCACATTCAGAATTCCAGATTCTGTTGATATTTCTCATCTTAGCTGAGCACTATAGTGTAGGTGTTGCAAATTCCATGCACTTCTAATGGATGAGTTCTCAGTCGTTTTGGTCCTTTTGATTTCTAATTCTATATAAATTGTTGATCAATTTAGGAAATTGTCCCTTATGGTGAGTAAGTGTGCATTTTTTGCATTATTTAGTGGGACTTGTCAGTCCACTCTGCAGAACTTGATCTGATCCTTCAGGCTATTTGGTTCAATGTGGAAATAAGTGTGGAATGAAATATGTGGAATACGATTTTTATTTTCTTTTATCATATTTTTATATTTGAATAACACTAATCTTTCTTAAATAGTCTATACACTTAGAATTTGTCCCTTGTATTTTTTTCCAGATATCTAATCATATCTAAAATTAACTTTTAAGACTCCAATTTTTCATTTGTGGCCAATTTAGTCCAATTTAAACATCGAAGAGTTTATTTCTTTTTTTTTTTTTTTTTTTTTTTTTTTTTTTTTTTTTTTTTTGAGAGATTTTTTTTTTTTTTTTTTTGAGAGAGAGAAGACTGTTAGAATCTACATAAGCAAAATAGCATCCATCACAAAACAGGGTAAGAAAAATTCATACATCATTTAGTTCCTCAGACCACATAATTTTCTTTTTCTTCTTCAATTTCAATTTGTCTTTGTCAACATAATTTTCGTTGTCATTATCTTCCTTCTTGGGTTCATCTTTCTTCTTATATACCTCTGAAAAAAAAAATTCACATAAGAACATTATGTATCTCACAATACAGAGCAATTAGATGTGTCCTAATATAATATGAACAGCAATAAGGAGGAGAATGATCATACCAGACCAGGCTTGTTTGATCATGGGGTTGATGTTGTTCCCAGGTCCCTCGCCCTCATCTTTCTCTTCTTCAATATCAAAACTTGGTAACATATCCTACAGAATGATCGATGAAGTTCACTTCTAGAAAATAGAAATTCAACTCTTTTCTTCACATTCTTGGTTAAACTGTAAACAGAATTCAAAGCCTTGGAGAGAGAGAGAGATGGAAAGAGAGGGATAAAGAAAACATGGTCTTACATACTCAGTGTGTAATGAGATGCTGAATTGTTGACTTAACATCTGGCATGGCTTTTTTTTTATCCAATTTGAAGCAATTTGCAAATTTCAATTAGTTAAGAACTTGAGATTGTATTCTAAATTTGCATTTCCAATGTAGTTTAAGAACTTGAGATTGTTTTTCTAAAGGATTAATGTTAGCTTTAAATTACACTTGACGTCAAAATTTCTGCAAGAGTGTTGGAACGGTACAGGACAACTGCGAATTGTTGACTTAACATCTGGCATGGCTTTTTTTTTATCCAATTTGAAGCAATTTGCAAATTTCAATTAGTTAAGAACTTGAGATTGTATTCTAAAGGATTAATTTACTTTAATTACACTTGACGTCAAAATTTCTGCAGAGTTGACGGTACAACAACTGCTCTTCTGTAGGTTGATCTCTCTTGCTGTTATCCTCTGTATTTTGCTTTCCTCTTATGGCTTGCCAGATTTTATCATATTTATATAAGCCACATGGTATAGTCTCTAGCAATTTGCAAGAACAAACATCTAGATGAAGTAAAGATTGTGGAAGATCAGGTAGGGAACGAAGACTCTCGCATGAGTGTAAGTACATACGCTGCAGCTGGCAAAGTTTATCAATTCCGCTTGGAAGCCTCTCAAGGTTCTTGCAATCACTGAGGTCCAACACTGTAAGACAAGTTAAATGTTCAATAGATGAGGGTATCTCTTCAATAGCTGTTCCTTTCAGATAAAGGGATTCCAAATATTTCAAATTATAGATGCTATTTGGAAGCCTCTTGAGATTTTTGCATTTATTCATATCAATTTCCACTAGATTCATGGGCTCCAAGATTTCTGGGAAGCTCTCAAGTTTCGAGCAATTTGAAAGATAAAGATACTTCAGTGATTTCCATTTACAGATGCTGCTTGGTAGACTCAAGAGCTTTTCGCAATTAACCATACTCAACTCATCACAGCCCGAAGAAATTTCAGTTGCTGCAATATCTGGAAACTTGACTAAATTTGACATTCCTTCAAGCCTTAGCACTTTAAGAAATTTCCAAGAAAGAATTTCTGGACATCTTTTGACCTTGAGGCAATATGATAGATCAACACATCTAATAACTTTTGAGCCAATGCTACTCGGAATGCTCCTCACATTAACACAACAGGACAGAGCAAGGAATTCAAGTTTTTTAAGGTGTTGAGTGGATGAGTGAAGCTCCACTAAACTTGTACAACCTTGAAGATTTATTCTCTCAATGTTTATGGCTTTTGATAGATCTGGAATTTTAATCAGATATTCAGACCAAGAAAGGTCGATTTGTTTCAAATTTACAAGATACTGCCATGAAAAAACAGAAACAAAAACACATAGCCAAAGGATCAACATCTTTAACGTCATGGTTCATATATATATAGAAAGAAAAAACTAGAAAAAAGATATGTGAGCATAGATACCTGCACTCCAGTCCAAAGCTTTTTAACCCTGCTCTCAGGCATCTCCAGCACAACAAGATTTTCAGCACCGAAATATGCTGGCAAAGTTTTCACCGGGCAACCATACCAGTGGAGATACCTTAATGCGGTAGGAAGAAATCGAAGGCCGCCATCATAAGGTTGCATTTTACCTCCTCCATGTGCAATATCCTTACTCTCATAGAATTTGAGATATCTAAGATTATGCATCCCTGCAAAGGCGTCACGTCGTAAGCATATTTCCCTTGCTTTAGATAAGTCCAAACAAATGCCTTCAATTGCTTCCGTTCCCTAATACACACAAGCATAGAGAATTAATTCCGTCATGTTATGCAACATGAAAACAAAAATGCTGTTCACTTTGTATTGAAAATTTCACTAAAAATGGTTAGTTTGCACCTTATTTTCCAACAATATGTGGCGAATATCTTCTGGATTCCATAGTCTGCTACGGTTTTCAGGTCTAATAGATTCGTCATTGACAATTTTCCGACCCATTTCTTGTAGTAAATCATGCACCTCCAACCTTTTATCCCAAGAAACAGTAATGAGACACCTATCGATAAGAGTCTTTATAGTTAAATACACCGATGAAAAATAACCGTCCAAAATGGTGATTATATCATCTAGATTTTTCCCTGTGAAAAAACAAGCAACATCCAAAAATATTCTTTGCTCTTCAGAATCTAGTACATCATAACTAACTCTCAGAACATTATGAATTTCAGGTTTGGGGATATTTTCTAATCTTTTCAATGCGCTACACCAATATTCTTCACTTCTATCAAAAAATAAAGATCCCAAAACCTTGAGAGCCAATGGATTTCCTTTAGTGTAAGCTATCACCCTTTTCGATTTCTCCATATGATCACTTGAGGGATAGGCTTGCTTGAAAGCATTCAAACTAAAGAGTCTAAGAGCTTCATGCTCATTCAATTCCATCATTGGATATATCACATCAACAACATTCTTGAGGACTTGCCTATTCCTACTCGTCACAAGAATAACGCTTCTTGAACCAAACAAACTATATTCTGTAGCTAGTAGCTGATTCAGTTGTGCTGAACTATCCACATCATCAACAACAAGGAGAACCTTAGTGCGGCGAATTCGATCCTGAATATAATCAGTCAGACATAAATCAAGATTACGCATTTTTAGATCTTTCTCATTTAAGATAAACGTAAAAAGAGAATCCCTCAATTGAAATAGACTATTTTTCCCTTGTTTTCTAAAATCTGAAAGGAAGTAGGAACGTTCAAATTGGTAGGAGATTCGATCATATGTAGCTCTGGCAAGAGTGGTCTTACCAGAACCACCCATTCCCCATATGCCAACAGTTCTAGCAGCAGATGATTCCATGGATATTAAAGCTTCAATATGTTTAATTCGTGAGTCGATTCCAATCAAACCTGAGGAGTAACTAGGGAATATTCTATTCAATTTCTTCAAAATATCCTTGAGAACTTCATGTATAAGTGTAGATTCTGGCCTAAAACAATCCACCCATTCCCCATATGCCAACAGTTCTAGCAGCAGATGATTCCATGGATATTAAAGCTTCAATATGTTTAATTCGTGAGTCGATTCCAATCAAACCTGAGGAGTAACTAGGGAATATTCTATTCAATTTCTTCAAAATATCCTTGAGAACTTCATGTATAAGTGTAGATTCTGGCCTAAAACAATATGGACAACAAAGATGTGGTTAATTGAGCATAAGTTGCAACCAAGGAGAGAAAGTGTCAAGAAAATATTTGTAAACTGATCAACAATAATAAGATAAAAAACAAAGTAATCCAACACATAGGCACATAATATGTAAATTCTTGTTAGAAAATATTTTGAAAGTTTTGAAATCCTGAACTTTTATATATACCACAGGTGAACACTTGATACACCTCTTCTTTTTAGGTCACAATATAAAGCCTGGCTATGTATAATATTCTCTCTTCCATCCAGAACAGTCACAACTATAGATTCTATTCTGTTCATTTTTTTTTATTTCTTATTTCCAGCATTATAATTAATGTTTATCTAGCTTGCATATTTGGTAATGTGCCGCTAATTTATAGATATATTGATGTATGGTCTTGCTAATTTGAGCAAATGGTTTAAAGCTGTAAATGTCAATCTATATATATAGATATATTGATGGATGGTCTTGCTAATTTTTACTCAGTTGGGGCATATATGCATAGATTCCCAAGATGCTTAGAATTAAGTAGGAAAGCTTTTCTTACATTCCAGATAAGATTAGCAATAAAAATGTTCTCAAAATAAAACGATAATGAATTTTACCTGATGGCCATCGAATCCCAACCAGACAGACCAGCTACTTCCTTCAAAGCCGCTCTCCACCTCTGCACCTTGTCTTTGTTCACCATTAGAGATTTTTCATATCTAGCAAATGCATCGTGAAAGCTACCAGTCTGATTTCGAACATCCGATGGTCTAATTCGGTAAAAAACAGGGATAACTATCTGTCCATTTTTTTTCATGCATTTGATGATCTCTGCAAGTTCCTCCAAGCACCATTTCGAGGAAGCATAATTTTCAGAGAGAATGGGAACAGAGATTTTGGATTCTTCAATTGCTTTCAAAAGTGAAGATGAAATCTCTTTTCCTCTTACAAGATTGTTATCGATGAAGGTTTGGATTTTCTTATCACACAAAGCAGCATAGAGGTGGCTAGTAAAGCTATCTCGCGTGTCTTCACCTCTAAAACTAAGAAAGACATCATATCTTTCTTGGACAGAACACTCCATCATGAAAAAGGAAATTACTATGTAGAGTCTTTAGCTTGAATTGCATAGACCCAAAGGTGTATCTAAATTCTAAATACCTTTTATGGTTCTACCTCATCCATTCAACTTCTAGGCATTTCCCACCAAGCTTCCCGTGACTTTCTTAGCATGTTTCCAGTCAAGCTTTTCTTTTCCTTCTATACATTAAATAAAGTTAAAGTGACAATGGTGCGTCGAAATATAGTGTTTTCAAAACTGGACCCCAGACCGACCAATCCGATCAATTCAATTGTGAACCGATAGTTGGTCCGGTCTAATTTTATATTTAAAGCCTAAAGATTTAAAAACCGAAAAATTAAAAACCAGACTGATACAATAAAATCTGTTTTTTTTTTAACCTATTACTTCATCTTTTTTTTTCCGTTTTTATCCAAGGTGTCCGACCCATTATCATTACAATTACATACAAATATGTAAATTTACATGAAGACTTTTAAAATTAATTTATAATAATGGAGTTTTCTAGAATAACTTAAAATCAATAACAGATATACAATAATCTCTTTTGAAAAAAAAAATCAGTTATGGATTTAATATATATGATGGATTTTTATAATAATTCTTTAACTATCATTTTAATTAATAAATAAATTTTAATTTGTTCAAAAGTATTAATAATACAACTAATATTAATTAATTAATATCTATGAAAAGTAAGGCGTTCTAATTTTTTTAATCATTTTATTTTATTTCTATATTTTTTTAGTCTAAATAAAATAATATTAATTACTATAAAAATGGTAATAACAAAATTTTAATGTTAAATCAATGTAATATAAATGCCTAGTCAAGTATTAAAAAAATTTAATAGTTTCATTTTTCAATATTAAAATAAAATATTTTAAAAGAAAGATAATATTAAAATTTAAATTAGAGATGATAATTTATTAAAAATTAAAGTAAATCTGACTTTGAAAACAAATGATAATAAATTATTTATTTCAGATTTTAGAGAAGAATAAAGAAATGGAATATTTCATATGAGAGATGAACTTTTCCTGAAAATCTTAAGGGAAGAATGAAATCCAAAAGCATCCTGAAGAAATTATATATGGCAATCGGAAACAGTGATTGCTTATGCAAAGGGCAATCCGTTGAAGCAGTGAGAAATGATATAAAAGGGTTGTGTCATTGTTTATATATATATATATATATAACTTTGTTACAGGTTTTATGTAAAGAAAGCGTTACAAAGCTAATCACGTGTAAATTTACTGTTTTTCTTACATTCTGTATGAATATAAAAAGTGACAAATATCAGATTTTAATCATTTTAAAAGAAAGGATGGTCGCCCTTTTAAGTCCATATTGTTTAATTATAATTTTTTCTTTTTGAGTTTTAGCTCCCATTGCTATTAAAAATTTAAAAAAGAAGAAGAAAGAAAGAATTTTTCTATGCTTTTCTTCTAATTTTCCAATTTGACCCTTACATGCTTTTTATTGGAGGAAATATTCTGGCTTTCCATCTTTTTTTTGTTATTCTTTGAAATGGCTTTCCAAATTTTGACAAAGGAAAGTAGAAGGAACACACGCAAGAAAGGCCATTGGAAGCTTGGTGTGTAATGCCCAAAGAAGTTGAATACCAATGTTTTTAGAATTAAGTCGACATCGAACTGACTTGATGAGTGGCTTGTGGTTGTACGAATCAACTCTGTTCAACAGTATTTTTACTTTTTAATTTTTTATATTTATGTGTAAAGAATTAACAAAAATATACTCATAAACAATTAACATAATAATAAACATATCAAAATATAAGTTATAATAATTTAAATGTTATAATACTGTTTACAAATTCATAAATCACACAAAAAAAATTTGTACTAATTAAATGATATTTTTATTATTTTATTAAATAAATACTTATTAGTTATAAAATAATAATTTTAAAAAATTGGGTACACCATATTAACGTTGACTTTTGGAGAAAATATAAACTATTAATTTATAATTTTTGGATATTTATTTATTACCAAATTTTTTAAGAAAAAATTTCAAGTTATGAGTTTTAAACAAGATTTGAACAACTTTTTCAAAGTACAAATATACTTTAACCACTTTATCCATTTAGTTTATAATGAAAAATTTTGAACTTGTATTTAAAATTTAAGCTGTCCGGTTTGCAGTAGAAAATCGAACTATTTCATATCATACCACAACCGGCTCATGAGTTGATCTATCCGACTTGCCGGTTCAATCAAATTGTCAAAACAATGCTGAATACGCGAGAGGATTCAAATATCCATCATGACTTGCAGCTTTATAAGTTGAGGGTTTTTTCTGAGTATTGGTAAAAGGCTTTAATATGCCTTAGTGTGCTTATGATTTACTAAACAGAAAAAAAAAAAAAAAAATTTAGTTGTCCCTTCGATTCATTTATTTGGATAAAATTTCTAATTGGTGAGTCTCATTTATTTACTACATTCAATAGCAGTCATACGCTCTCGTTAGCATGGTTTTTTCCTTTTATTCCTTTTTTTTTTTGTATTGTTTGAATTATTAACCTAATGGAACAAGATTTCGGCCATCTCTCCATTGCCGATGAGGAGGATGAGGTTATGAGAGTGGCTAGAGCTGGTCAGGAACCAGTCTCGACGTACTCGTTCTGCTTGGTAGGGATGTTTTTGACTTACAGTTCAGTTAACTACCACTCCATGAGTTTGATTTTTTTGGATCTATGGCATCCGTTAGGTGGGGCTAATATATCAGAGCTAGGGGTAAAGAGGTTTCTGTTTAGGTTTTATAATATGGTTGATATGGAGAGGGTAGTTGATGGTGCCCCATAGACCCATAGACCTTTAATAAACACTTACTAGTCATAAAACCTGTAGAAGATGTTGAGGATCCTTTGCGAATTCCCTTGCTTTATGCAGATTTTTGGGTGCAGGTACATGATCTGCCGCTGGGTTTTATGATGGAAGGTGTTGCTCGCTCGTTGGGTAACTTCATTTCATAGAGTATGATATTAAGAACCTGTCCATAATTCCCAATCAATATATGAGGGTCAGAGTTCGACTAGATATACGTTTGCCATTGAAAAGGAGAAAGAAGATTATTGACTCAAGTGTGTAATATGTTCTATGCACGGTTCTAGTACGAAAGATTGTTGGTATTTTGCTATCTGTGTGGAAAGTTGGGTCACACCGATTCCTTCTATGAGATTTGATTGGTACGAGGGAAATGGGAGTTGAAGCTAGAGTGGGATGACCATATCCGGGTTCCCGGTCATCGAAGCGCACAACCGGTCAGCCCATGGTTGCGTGTGAACAAAGAAGTTGACTGGGCGTCAAATATGGCATAAAAAGCGGGATTTGGTGTAGGGTATCAAACGTCTTTAATGTCCCAAAGGTTTGGGGATTCCTTATTTGGTACAACACCAAATCCTACCAATTCTACTCATGACGTGGGTATAATGGAGATAGAAGGAGCTATAGTTAGCTTGGTTAATTCAGATGGGCTAGGAGAGGAAGTGGGCTTGGTAGATTGGAAGAATTAAAAAAGAGGCCTAGAAAAACAAAAAGAAATTTAGTTGCTGGTGTTTCTTTAAACAAGGATTCGCCTGCCAACTTTTTTGCGATGGAAGTATCGACAGTTTCACCCTTAAAGGTCGATCCCTGTGAGCGGGAGGCTCGACAATCACGAAACTCTTTAGTTGAAACTCTTTAGTCGGGTCCACAATATGCATCCAAATAAAACCCCAAGTCCTGATGGCTAAAATCTGTCATTCTATCAAAAGTACTGGCATATTTTGGACAATGATATTGCAGAGGGATGCATATTTTGGCTTAGTCGAGGTATTTTCCCTCCTTTAACTGATACTATTATTGTCTTAATTCCAAAAAAGAATAATCTTGAAACGGTGAAGGACTATCACCCTATTGCCTTATGCATTGTATTATACAAAATTTTGTCTAAGGTCTTAGCCAATAGATTTAAAAAAATCCTTCCCAAAATAATTTCTGACAATCAATCAACTTTTGTCCCTGATCATGGATAATATTTTGGTTGCATTTGAAACAGTCCATAATATGAAACGGTCTTCCAAGGGAAGTTCTGGTTCTCGTGCTCTTAAGACATACATTAGTAAGGCCTATGATAGACTGAATTGAGATTATCTTAAGGATATGCTCTTTAAAATGGGTTTTCATGATAAATGGGTTAGCTGGCTTAGCATGTGTGTTATAGATGTTAGGTATGCGGTTAATATGAACGGACAACTTACAGACTCTATTTTTCCTGGGCGAGTACAGCAATGTAATCCCTTGTCACCGTTTTTATTCTTATTGTGGCAGGGGGTCTTTCTATCCTTTTCTAGGATGTTTAGCGGGGTCTAATCCATGGGTGTAGGGCAGCTATAAAATGTCCTAAGGTCTCACTCCTTTTATTTGCGGGTGATTCCTCATTCTTTCTTTACGCCCATATTGGAGACGCGTCTAGACTTAAAGGGGATTTTAAATGAGTATGAATTGACATCGGGTCAATCCATGAATTTTCAGAAATTATGTATTCTTTTTAGCTCGATATTGATGTTGCATTGAAAAATAATATTTCTAATATGTTGGCTGTCTTTAATTCTCTTAAAGTAATTATCTGGTCTAGCCTTCGTTAATTGGGCACAATAAGCGTCAAAGTTTTGCATCAAAAATACACCTTAGATGACGGAGATGAAAACGCAGACCCTCAGGTTTATCGAAGTTTCGTAGGGAGACTACTCTATCTTATTGACAGTCGTTTTGATATTCTACAAGCTACCAGTCTCCTGTCACGTTTTATGCAAAGTCCAAGCAAGACTCGTTAAGGTCCTCCAAAAAGGGTGTTGAGATACGTAAAACGAACATGCTCCTATGGGCTTTTCGACTCTAACTCTAACAATATTGAGTAATGTGGATTTTATGATAAGCGATTGGGCAGGTTTGATGGATGATTGCAAAAGCACTTCAGGGTATCTCTTCATGCTTGGATCAAATGTCATTTCGTGGTGTTCAAAGAAGCAATCGCCAATTTCTCTTTCTTCATCTGAGGCTGAATACATAACTAACACTACAACAGACTGCCAAGCAATTTGGCTAAGCAGAATTTTGAAAGATATGAAGCAAGAGCAAAGGAAGGCAACAATGATTT